GCCTCGTGCCAATTATAACAGCTTCCGAGTAATGGAAGAAGTAGCCCATCACTGAATCTGTACTCATGATCTTCTAAGTAAAAAAATGGTCGATTGACCAAAAAAATTGTACTTATATATTTTTCTTCTTTTTCGTTTTAGTCAACTTAATGAGGTGTTATTAGACAGTTTCGGAACCACCATAGGAAGTCACACATATCTTGTAAGTTTGGGCCTGGCCCACAACGGATATACAGGCTTTGCTTCTAAATTTCAACTTCAAAATAGCCTTGTTTCAACTAGTTTGCCCGGCAGAAATATCAAATGCATCAATCAAAAATAAATTTTTGGGTATAACAATTAGACTTGTGATTATATTGAAGTTTACAGGTCTGCAGGGCCCAGGGGATATGTCAAGTAGGTATAATGAAATATTAGCTGCAACTAGATAAATTAGCCATTAATATTGGTTCATTAAATGCGAAATGTGGCCTTACTGTCCCTTTGATCATCAGTTTGAGATTTGAAAATTTGTACAGGACAATGGAAATTGTTACGACTTACTTTTATGGCAATTGCATTCTAAATATAAAAAATTGCTGAGACATAAGTGCTCAAGGGTAAAACACCGAATCTTAAATTAAATCTTATATAAGACCCACACGCCCTAAATAATATCATTAAATAATCAAAAGACACCTCAGCCTTAGCTGTCACGTCAGTAGACAACTCACTTAAGAGTCGACCGCTAGAAAGAAGTGTCAGACATATAAAGGAGGTCGACTTCTCTGAAAGGATATAAAGGACAATATGAGGCCGATCGTATCCGCAATTGTAGGCGAAGTAACTTTTGAAAGCGTTTATGAAGTCGAGGCTACACAAGAGATGATACTCGCAAAATTTGCTCCAAGTTTGCTATTTGTAAACTAAATGTATGAAATTTAAATAAGGAAACAACATGATTAATTGTAATCTCTATCTTTTGGGAAACCATCCCAAAAGATAAGGGAAATAACCCAAATTCAGATAGGGAAAGTTTATGGGCGGTGACTTAAGTTATAAATAAGGGATTATGAGTTAGAAAATCCTAAAGTCTGATTCTTAGTATTAGTGTGTGTAATTCTCTCAAAGATAGTGAAAATTTTCTCCTCCCTGCAGTGGACGTAGCCCTCGAATTGAGGGTGAACCACTATAAATTTTGTATTCTTATTTAAATTCTGATTTTAATAGTATTTTATATCATTTAATTCGCACAAACCATTAATATTTTGTTGGTGGATTTTCACCGTCAATAGGTTTCACAAATTAAAAATCCTAGAGACATGTATGGAGCCACCGGCGGCTGGCCCACTTAAAGTTTTTTTCTTTCAATTTTTATATAAATTTATAAAATTTAATTTTTCCCCTTTAAATTTTACATCTCTTTATTTGTCCCACCTCATTAGTACTCCAGTGCCCCTTAACTTATTATTCTGGTTCCCTTCCTTAGAGAGTGTTTAGTGCAAGCTTATACAAGGCTAAGTCTAGACTAGATTAATGTACAAGCCCAAAACTTCAAAGACGAAGAACTTCAAGTTCACGTGTACAATTTCTGTTCAACATATAATTAACAGATATATATATATATATATATATATATATATATTCTTCTTCTACCTAGATAATGTGATGTATCAATGGAAAGGCACTGATTTTAGGGGCACAAGAAGGTACCATAAACAGAGCTGCCTAAGAAAGTTAAGACAATAACTCATAAATAAAAACTCAAGATTAATTATCTCAAATAACAATCAAGTTGTTGGCACAGGACTAGATCGGCGAACCACTTATCTACAGCCATACATTGTAGCCATCTCTTAGGACATTTTGGCTTTGGCTTTATCAGCCTTTTGTTCTGCATTATGTACCACCTTTGTCTTCAATGTTGGGAGGTTGCGAGCATTAACTCTTATCTTTTCTCTTTTTTCCTTCGCATTTTAGTTTGCACGGTGAAAGTTAGGTTCAAACAAAGACTTTTCTTCTTGCATGTGATGTATATTGTGCAACATATGTGTCCATTTAAGTTTTGCAAACCTGGCTGTTTAAAAAGCGGATTTTGGCAAAAATCCACTGTTATCAGTTCTTTTTTGTAATGTTTTGTTTGACATTACTTGGCAGTATGATCCTCCCGCAACTTCTCCTGTTCATAGCTAAATAAGTGGTGCCCTTTTAATGCTTAACAATTAATTGGCATGCAAATATAGATATTAGACTTCTCGCTTTGAAATATAGCGAAAAGCAATTATATATATATGAGAAACAATAGTATAATTCTATAGAGTATGGAAAAATAACCTAAACCATTTAAACTGCCGTATTTCTGTAAGTTTCTATTGAATTGTCATACGTTTCTTAATCTGATATGATTTTTAATCAGATCTATTAGAATTGTATCATATCAATAAGTTTTTTTTTAATATATTCTTTGTTCTCCAACTGGCAAACAACATAAATGTATATATAGAGACGAGTTGTTAATAGTTAGGTTTTCAAGATGGTTATTTATCAAATATAAAAATTTTATAACGTGATACGATAAGAATATCCAATTTCATCACATGAACAAAATTGGGTACTAGCCACAGCAGAATGAATTGATTACGCAATTGGGGCTGCAGAATTCTTTAGTGCATGAAGCAGAGATTGGATTTTCTACGTTAATGAGTTATAGGTATTAAGAAAGTATCATCACTGTCATCTTCAATTTTGTTTGCATAATATATCATTTTTGAGATCTATTACACCAACTTATCTATGATATATAGTTTCAAGGGGACACCAAGTAATCGTTAGGGGTGTCCCGAGTCCAGTCCGGTCTAGCAATATATATATGCAAACAAATGATTGTGTCACGTATATCATATAGTTGGTCCTCATAGCAGAGAAATACGATAAGAAAAATGGTCCTGCTCTCTGACCTAATGCCCAACAATTGTACCTTATCAACCGACTTTCATTCAAGTCAATATGGGAAAGTAAATTTCAAGAAGCAGTTTTACAACAGTTTTGTCTTACCAATATAAAAATATTAACCGTAGATTGAAACTGATAAATCTTGAATTTTTCAACCATTTTTCTGTTGCTAAAGACAGTGACGAAACCAGAAATATTAATCAGAGAGACTAATATCTATGACAAATATTAAACTAAAAATAAATAATCATTAAATTATATGATTATTACGGTCATGTTTTCATGCCTAAAATGCTGCAAAATAACTTTTTCATTGAGATCATTGAATATGTCTATTTCAATATATACAAGTGAATTGTCATTCATCGTTAATTTCTCATTCAATTTTTTTATTAGCAAGACAAAAAGTAAAAAAAAAAAACTTAACATAGATAACTTTAGCACATCCTAACAAAATTGGTACTAAATTTCCATTTGATTGTAGGGTCGATCATTAATAATATTCATACTAAAAATATACTCTATCAACGATAACAATAACGACAAGTTTAACTATTAAATAGAGTGACAAACGAGAACAAAAGAAATTATATGTTATAGAAATATCACAATATATTATTGTGTATGCTTTATTTTTTTAGAAGAGGATTTGTACACTAGTTGGAAAAAAGAAAAAAAAAAGAGAGAAAAAAGCAAATAAACATATATTAATAAATAATCCAAGCTATTATTAAAGAAGAAATAATCTTGTTAAGTACTTAGGGAAATTATTTAGCTCTAGCTCAAAGTAAAATTTTTCAATTTTGAGAGCACTGAAATAAAATTTTAAACTTTTCAGGGGGGCTACATATAAATTTGATATAAATAAAAATATATAATTATAGGTAAGAAAAAGTTGAGGGGGGCTTAAGCCCCTTAAGCCCCCTCAGTCCTCAATAGAATCGTCCCTTGCTAAAGGAGAATAGGTAAAATTAGATGGCCAAACCACTTTGTTGCAAGTATTCAGCACCAAACTATTTTTTATCTTTATTAAAGGCAAAACTTATAAGAGGAAGAGTACTAGGAACTTTGTTTTAGAGGTTAGATTAGTTTTTCATATCGCGCGTTATAAATTTTTAATACAAATATGTATAAATTTAATTGTTAAAAAACTAGTTTAACAATTAAAAATAACGCTTCCACTTCCATTCCCTTTATTAAAAGATTGGATTGCAACAGCAAAATGTAGTTAGTCTTGCAGTGTATATATAGCTACCAATTAGCGGCAAATAAAACTGTTTTCATATATAGTAACCTAGCCTTCTTGCACAAAGGATATTATCCACATTTTTTGCTGGTCCCTTTTCTGTCTGTGTAGAGCTAATTAATATCATCTTCTGGTACAGAAACAGAGATCTCAAATAGTGGGTCCAGATGTCTTTTACAACGAAATCTCATACTAGGGGGACCATCAAATGGTTCATATAAAATCAATCACATGATTAATAACCCCTAACTTCTTTTGGCACTGTTCACTACCCAGCCAAAACAGAAATAATGGAAAGGAATTTTTGCAGCTGCCCCCATCAGTTTAGATGAGAAGAAAAGGGAGGTTCAAACAGGGGCAAAAATGTAATCTGCCATTCCCTTATTCCCGCCAATACAACGTTTCCTTAATAAACCAAGGTCCAAGCGTGAGAAAATTTCTTTTTATCTACCAAGACAATTACCGTTTTTATTTATTTATACTATTACTATTTTTATTCCCCTGCCAGAAACAAAGCGACACCACCAAGGCTAAAACCCATTAGAAGAAACACACAAAAATTTCAGCCCTACAATTCAAAGTTATGTTTTGTCGTTGTTTGGTTCCTAAACGAAACAAAAAGAAACAAAATAAATTAATAAATAATTCCTCCTCTTTTTTTCTTTTTTCTTTTTTCCACTTATTTTCTTAGCCAGTCAATAAAACTGTGTTATATAAGCCGCACTGAGACCCTCTAACAGTAACAGTGACTTGGTCCATCAGATACCAACTTCTCCTCATCTTTCTTCCTCGTCATCATCTTTTTTTTTTTTTTTTACTATTACTTTTTTTTTTTTTTTTGGCATTTCTTTTGTTTACGTTGCAGTAGCCCAAGCTAGATAATAAGCTAAAAAGCTATTGTCACTCTCAAATGGACCAAAAGGGATAACTGATAACCTGTTCAATCAGTCTTATCAGAACTGCCTGATCTGAGAAACCTGGACCGTTCGATTATCGTATTAATGATTGATTTTCCTCCAAGAACTTGATCATGTCCCTCTCTAATCGTAGCGATGTGGTGCCATTGCCACTTTCTGAGCTCGAAAAGCGCTGGTCAAGCACGTTGACCGGTGTCACCGAGCTTGAAATGACGCCGTATAAAGGCTCGTACTCCTCCAACAATACATCTTGCATTGCGTTGAAACACTTGGATATGTTTTCCTAAAAACAGTGACAAAACCAAAAAAATAAATAAATAAATAAAATCTTTTGCGTTAAATTAGATTCTCAGAAGCAAAAGATACTTTCGGAAATCCAGTCAAACATTACTTATGTTATGCTGCACTGATAATAATAAAAAAAAAATAGTAATAAAGTACAAAAAAATACAAGAAAAGTAGAAAAAATGCTAATGGTATTTACTTTGTTTACACATGGGCAGTTGGAAATTGCTTTTCTAAAGCATGGATATTGTAGAGGAAACAGCTCATGAGAAGCACAGAGAAGCGCTGATGCAGCGAGTATTGAGGGCTTATAAACCAAGAAGTTAATATCTGCAGACCAAGAACAAGAATTTGTAAACTTAATTTACAGGACAAAAAGAAATTAAAATTCGAGTTCTAATGCCATTTTTGTCATCTGGGTATTATACCATTTTGAGATTTGAAGATAATATGAATAGCTCTAGCCTTAAGAGCTTGCCACAATGGTGGGTCTTGAAGTTTGAATAAAGAAATGAAAAATGGAATGAAAGAGAAGGGAGTAATTGAACGCATTCTCCATTTAAGGGCTCCCAAGATTAGTGCCTCCATTCTTCCTATTGTTTGTGTGTCAAATATTATACCACCATCAGCCTATACAACAGACACAAGTTAATAATTTCGAGTAACATTTTGGATGGAATAACAAAAAAGAGAATTTTTTTAGTTTGACCTGGAAATCAGTGAGAGAGAATTCTGTGTCCTTCATTTTGGCAGCCAAAGAAACGCAAGAGATTGAAAGAAGCTTTATAACCCATTGCTTTGGCTGCTGTTATATAAGCAAAGTATGATTTAGATCTCAAAAAGTGTTAAACCCAAAAATAGTTTGCAAACTATTTAGGAAAGGCCCTTCCTTTGGCTTAAAATTATGTTTCGTCTTTAAGAACAAAGACAAGAATATTTATAATACTATATACTTATATATACCAGCATTCCATGGGAGGACAAGAACCGATCAAGGTAATTTACTGCCAGGTACGATAAGAAAGGATCGAAGTTACATGAGAACTGCAAACATAACCTTAAATAAGTTAACAACAAACGAAAAAAAAAAACTCTGTTTTCTGAGAAAACATATAAGCAGTTTTCTTTTTCTTTTATATTTTACCTGTGAGATTGAAGAAATGGCTTCTCGTCTAACAAGAACATCAAAATCGCCGGCTTGGAGGCTGGAGAAGTAATTGTCGGAAGGCATGTGATCGGACTCGACGAGAAAAAGAGAAGCGACGGAGTCGGAGTAAAGGTCGTCGGAATCTGTAAGTGGGTTTTCGAGGTCGAACTCCATGGAAGAGATTTGAGAGTTTTTCTTTTGTTTTTTGTTTTGTTTTGTTTTTTTTTTTTTTTTGGTTTTTGGAATGCCTAGCTCAGAGGGATTGATAATAGAATAGCACGCAAGACATTTTTAACAAAGAGAAGGCAAAGGGGATAAGATAAAAAGCTCAGAGCTTTGCTGTTTTTTGTGTAAAGAAAAAGCTGTGCTTAGGAGACTTGAACTTCACTCCTCCTCTCTCTCTCTCTCTCTCTCTCTCTCTCTCTCTCGCTCTCTCTCGCTCTCTCTCTTATAGTGTTTGTTTTGTTATTTTGACCTATCCACAGGCACAGATAATCTCTTCCTCTATTTCATTGGGAAAGAGAACAGGGAAGGAAGGGGTTGGGGGTGGTGTTATCAGATGGATCGAGGCCTAACGGGATTTGGAACTTAAAGAAGGTACGTCACAAAAGGATTTGCTGACTCTCTTTTTTTTTTCTCCCTTTTTCAAAGAATTTTAAAAACAAATGCGAATTTCGTTCTATTATCTTTTTTTTACTCTCCGTATTTATTATTTAATACATAAATTTTATTATTTTATTAATATTTTTATGTCAAATAATGAATACATAAAGTAACATAAAGAATTATATTAACATTTCTCATTTTATAAAATTGAGGATGAATGATTTAAATACCTAACCATATCAAAAGCAAAAAAGTGTCTTTATCGTTAGATTATGACCACAACTGTTTTTTAAGATATTTGTCATAGGTTATGAAAAATACTCCGTAGAGAAATTATAATATTTAAAAGAAAAATAGTAAAAAATAAATTAATATAAAAAGTTTAAGAAAGTATATAGACTAATTTTTAATTATAAAAATTAATAGATCATAACTTGTTAAGTTATGGTTTATAACCAGATAAGTTATGGATAAACTTATCAAGTTATGATTCATAACCAGACAAGTTATGGACAATTATGAACAATAACTTATCAAATTATGGTTCATAACCAGACAAGTTATGGACGAAAATAATAATTTAGCCTATTTATTAACTTATGTAAACTATTGGCCTACTAATTTTAATTCATCTCAAGTCTTGGCCTATTTTCCTCTTTCTCCCTATTTAAAAGTGAGATTTTATATCATATTAAACTTGTAAACACATAAGAATTATCTTTTTTTTTTCTCTAAATTTGGAGTGAAAATATGGTGACATTGCTACCTTTAATAACCTATGTAAATGTGACCACAAGAAGTGTGTTAAAATTAGTGAAAGATAAAATAAAAAATTATAGGCAATTCATGGATATAGGCGAACGACTCTTTGACAGGTCTTTTTAACGTTCGATTATATTATAATTAGCAGTTTGATATAAGATTTAAATTTGAAACAAGATGCACTTCTTCTATCCGAAAGAAGAATGAATTATAATATGGTTGATAATTAACAAGGATATAATATGGTTGTTTTTCAATTTAATTAAATTGATACGCCCAACCAATTTATCCATGTTAGAACCAATAATGTTTAACTAATCAATATGTCATTACTCATTACCTATGAAATCATATGCCCAAACTCAAATTATCATTTATTTGGCGTGTGCCCTTTTTACCACTAGATCATTAGTCACTCGGGAAACCTCATTTAAAATGTTAAATTGTAGGATTTTATTGAATGTTGTTGCGCACAACTTCACTATGCAAGCCATTTATTTTCCAGCAGCAAGAATTGAATGAACTGAAAAGTAGACCCCCAACTGGATTAATCGAAGAAATGCAACAAAGATATTAATAAAATTCTATTATGCCAACATAATATCAGCTTATATTTAAATCCCAAATCCCATAAATGTTAAGAGACCTTCAAAGTGGGTCTCTCAATTGAATCATCCACCCCAAAAAAATATAAATAAATAAAAATTTCATTCGAGAAATACAAGGACAAAGACAAGTTTGAAATATATTGCCGCTTCATCACACCAAACCATGTAAGACTCCAAATGAAAGTCTTCAAGATCCAATTCAACCATACTAACTATATTAAATGGATTTAGGCATAGAAATTTAGCCAATTTTTAAGTAACATATGGCAGGGATGCCAGCATGTGTTTGCGACTTGTGTCCTCGTATTGAATGAGATCTCACTCGGTTACAATTAGAAAAGACTTAGAATAGGACAAAACATTAAGCACTAATATTATATGCATATTAATGCTTTTACTTAGGGAAGATAATATATGTGTGGGGTTTGATCATTTAATCGAAGTCAATTTGGTTCAACTAAACTAATATCCCTTCAGAGTTGATGTAAAATGTTCCCCCAAGGGCCCAAATATCACGTGGAAAAGATGGACACACAAAATAGTAGTTGTAATTTAACTTAGCCTAGTCCAATTCCACACCCCTACCTTTGATATTTTGGTATTCGAATCCCTTCATTCTCATATTTTGTTTGATATAAAAAAAAACAAGAAAATTTTTTGGTAAGGGGAAAAAATACCCTACCGATAGACAACATTCTGAATCCTGATATTGTGATCAAACTTTATAAAATTGTCGTATTCTCATGTTTAAAAACTGTCCTTCAAGTAGTTATATATATACTCAGCAAAAAAAAAAAAAGTAGTTATATATGTGTGTGTGTGTGTGTGTTTTAATTTTCACACCCTTCTACATAAATTGTCTCGTAAACTAACAAAATAAGACTCTCCCATAAGGGAAAAGGGGAAAAAGTTTTTAAAAAAGGAAGGCACGCCTAGGGCCAAGAACAAGATTGATATCTATATATTCAAATGCCATTAAGGATTTGGGCTAAATAAGTGCTACTTTCCCTGCGACAGGTAATCTTTTTCCCCAGTAATACCAAAAAACAGAACCATTATTGAATACATAATCTTTGCACCAATGTTTCCAGTGATGTGCAGCCATGTACTCTTCAATGCTTATTCTAGTTCTAGTAAGTAGTAATTTTTTTTTTTTTCCATTTTTAGTGGGCTAATGTGGGGCTTTAAACTAAAAACAGGCACTAAACCTATCAAATTTCATATTCTGATTGATGTTTAACTAAACATATCATATCATGATACATTGTGTAAAAAAATGTGTAAAAAAATTGAAACTCTACTTTTTAACTAATTATATATCATTTAAAAAAAAAAACATGTAATTATTATAAAGATATCAACCATTGTTAGGACAGACACAAAGGACCATTAAGAACTTTCTAAATAAAGCTTCCATTTTTTTAAGTTCTTTGTATTAATATTTAGCACCCCCATTAACCTTGAGTATCCTTGTTTTTTTCTACTGTGTCAACTTATATTTGTATAAAAAAAAAGTTAATGGGAACACAACTTTAAAAGCCAAACATCCATATGACTAGTCTTTGTTGAGGGGAAAAGGCCATCAACACCACATAATAATCAAGTGCAACAACTTTTGAAATTATCACCAATCCATCTAATACTTTGACCTTCCGCTTTAGTTCCTGAAACCCACATGGAGCCGGTTCACTTTTATCTTACTTTTTAAGTCTTTTCGGGAAGAAAAAAACAAAATTGGTTAATTAATCCTAGAAGCTAATATGTTGTGGACAACAAAAAATCAATTAAACAAAGGTTATATTTTATCTTATTTCTTTCATGAAGGACCTTTTGTAATAAAAAATATTAACTAGTACGTTTTGATTTTAAAAATTTGCATCATGATGGACCGTGTTACCCGAGTTGTAATTTAAATCATGTTTATAATAAAAATATTTGGCAAAATTGTGTGGTTATTTCGAGTAATAAGATGGAGAGGGATAAAAGTCAGAATGATATATAATTACAAAGAATAATTCCATCGATTTATACCGTAAATATCACCTAAATTATGTCTTGGGGTACCATTTTAATACAAATTGAAATTAGATCTAATATTTTATTAGGAGTGAACAAAAAACCCGGCAACCTAACAAACTCGATTAACCCACCAAACCTAACTCAACTCATTATAATATGAATCTAATCAACCTGATTAAGAGATCAACCCAACCTAATTATTAATTGGGTGTGTTTGGGTTGAATTTTTCTTAACCCAACTTAACATGAACCCACCATATCAATTTATATATAAATAAATATGTTTCTACTTGGTAATACATAGTATTTGTTGTATATTTTACATTATTTACTTAAAAACTTATTGTGCTTTATGTTGTATGAGTTTTTATTATAAGATAGTTTTAGAATTTTATAAGATTAATATTACGATGAAAGTTCGCTTTGTTTTTATATATTTCTTGTTTTGGGTTGAATGATTAGTTTTATTTATTTATTTTATTGTGTTCAATCAGATCAACCCACCTAAATTTAAATTGGATGGGTTAATTTTAAATTTTAAATTGATTGAGTGATTAAATTTGAAATCAACCCAACTCAAACTTGACTGGGTGGGTTGAAAAATCTCAAAATAACTAAAACAAAAACAAAAACAAAAAATAGAAGAGGATTTTTAGATATTGGGAAACTTTGGGCCCTTCAGTAATCTAATCTAAGAACTTAAAACGTAGAGCTATATAATAAGAATTAAAATGAATTTCTTTATAGGTAAAAAATAGTTTGGCATGTAAGTGTTATAAACATGTGTTGGCCGTTCAAAGTCCTAATCCAAGAAAGAAAGGGGGAAAGAAACAAATTCTCTGTTCAAGTACTAGGCCCCAGCTCCAAAAATAATAATAATAATAATAAAATTAAAATAAGTACTAGGTCCCCAGCCTGCCTGATAAGTAGTCCGTAAAAAACAATTACTGGATGTTGTAAATCAATTGTGTTTGGATGCCACTTTTTGGTATTCTATAATTTATACATGACTTTTCATTTAGACTTTATTATACCTCTATTATTCCACTCATATTTATGTGTATTATCACTTCATAATTTTCTCATTTATATTGTGTAATCTATATAACTTATGTTTCTTATCTTACCTCTACTTATGATTCTTGTCCTATAAATAGACATTATATTAGCTTGTATGATTACTCCTCACAAGTGAATAAAAGATTAAAAAATTGTCTTGACTTTCATAAGAGATTATGTTGTCTTTATTATTCTCTTTAGTTTCTTGTAATATTTTAGTTTTTACATTTGTTTTATAACACGTTAGCAATATGAGTTCTAACCGTTGTTTCTTATTGAGTATTTTTTTAAGGTTTTCTTTTACAAGCATCGAAGGTCATCTTGTAGATGGCTAGATTCTTCGTTACTATCAACCTATCACTCTTAATAGGATATTGATATCGTAAAAGGCATGATGGTCAAGATATACATGATATCTATGGTTTTTTATTATTATAGTTCTTTAGATCTTATTTGATTATTATGTTTCTTTAATCTA